GGAAGGGGATGCTTCAGGGGACATGGAGCACTGTGACACTGGAGAAAGGGGATTCACTTCCAATTCAAATCTGCAGAAGCCTGTGCTTTTGTCTCCAAGCTGACAAAACTCTTGCCTGGGCATGATGAGGAGGATGGTGGGAGCTGGAGAGCCTACAGGTGGGCGGGACATGATCACTCAGCCTCCTGTGGGGCATGCAGTGTCCTTGCTGCACAAGAAACCAAATGACAGTGACAGTGCTTTGCCAAAGAGCTGCCGAGTTTCTGCTTTTGCTGGCATCTCTGCAAGCAGTCCAAGGCTCTCCAGCTGCATTTTCTGAAGCAGAAAGAAACAGGAGTCATCACGTCTATTCAAACCACAGTTCCTGATGTCTTGGGCACTGCAGACCTACAAATGCCAGCTACGTACTGTCACAGACGGGAGATTCAGTTTCCCAGATGAGAATCTGGTATCTGCTTTTAGTCCTGAAAGGGCCAATGTAACAGGCTATATAAAACATCACTCCCTTTAGGGAGGATCAGATTTGTCTCATTAGCAATTTGTTATGGCTCTGCCTCTGTTAGATGAAATGTACTTAAAATAACTGATGTCCCTAACTTCAAAGGTGGAGGAAGAGGACAGTGCTGGGAAGTTCATAGCAGTCATACAGCATCTTTGGTGATGAGGTGGAGATGTTTTTGCTGGGAAATGAGTCAAGACTTTTTTTCCAGTCTACCTGTGAAGAGGGAATAACTTTGGGGTCCTCCCTGACTTGATCAGACCATGAATCCCACCTGCCCTTCCATTCTGGGAAGTCTTTTCCTCTCTGCTGGCTGGGATCCTCCTGCCTTCCCCATTCTCTCTCCTGACCTGTTCCCCCTTTCCTCCTCCTGCAGTTTACGGCGACAGTGATGCTGCTCCTGGGCATTCTGATCATCCATGACGAGAAAAACAATGGAGCTCTGAAAGGCACGCAGGCCCTGCTCACGGGTATCCTGGTCCTGGGCATCGGCCTGGGGATGGGGTTGAACACAGGCTACGCCATAAACCCCTCCCGGGACCTGCCCCCCAGGGTCTTCACCGCAATTGCTGGCTGGGGAATGGACGTCTTCAGGTGAGTGACACGTTTCGCTTCTACACTGCTCAGCTTGCAAGGAGAGGAGATAAGCCCAAGATAAAACGGTCATGAAGCCTTTTTCTTTGGACCAAGTGATGGTATCTCACTGCAGAGTGTGTTCTCCATTCTCAGAGAGCAAGCTCCATGCATTATGTACACACAATTTGGGGTACACTAATTCTCCAGTGTGGGGATTCATCTTGACCTTCTGATACCTCAATTCGGGCACCAAATAGGCTACCTGTTAGCTGGAGATCTAGCTGGTTACTGCACCAGAGAGTGATTCAGCTCACCTGAAAGCAGGCACTTACAGCTGGATTGCTGAATAGCCCTCCTAGATTTAGATGTCTGAATCTGGAGATGAAACCCTGCCTTGCCCTATCTAGTAAGATGGTGCCATGCTACAGCTTTTCCCATGGTGAGGGCATTAGCACAGTCTTCAGTCCTGGCTGCCCATTTTCATTAAATTTCCAGAATATATCTTCGAAAGCTTGGTAGAGGAGGTGCAGATGTTATTGGAAATGTGGTGGGAAAAGGGGGGGGCGGGGTGTGTCTGTCTGACAGTCACACTCACCAGGATCACACATCAGGATCTTCCATTTCGGTGGGAGAACATGAGACCTGCACACAGCGCAGAGCCCCCTTCCTAGGCCCGTGGGGAAAATGACCCTCCCTCCAGCAATTATGCTGGTGGATAGAGAATGTGTCTAAGCCAGTTGCAGGGTGCAATATGTGAAGTGGCAGTAGACACCTCTGCTTACACAGCTCACTCCTGCTTCAGCAGACTCCGCTCACCTCACCCTGCACCACGCTGTGGCAGGGCAGCGGTTCCAGTCTGGCTCACCAGCTGTCTCTTCTGTGTTTCATTTTAGGGCTGGACATAACTGGTGGTGGGTCCCTGTCACAGCTCCAATTCTGGGAAGTCTTGCTGGTGTTCTAATCCACAAACTCTTCATTGATTTTCACAACCAACCTGTCCCAAAAAGTGAAAATGAGAAAGGACAGCCAGTGGTGGAGACTTCCACACTGTGATGGCCACATGTCCTGAGGAAAGGGTGTGACAGCAAAGCCTAGGTGGACGTATGGACTAGCAGCCAAAGGGTAACCAAGCGGGTGAGGGCATGGGCAATTGTGCTGCGGGAGCACACCGTTTCTCCACCCTGCAGGTGGAGAAATGAGGGACTAGTCTTCAATAAACCTACTCTGCTTAACCAGACAAACTGGGTCTCTGAGGCACTGGGCAGACCCAGGTAAGGCTAGACCTGCCTGTGACCTGAAGAAATTATTTAATCTATGTAAAATTCTACCAAAAAAATAATCATCACATTCTGAAGAAAAGGAAAGCAGAGCTGCAGGACTCCAGAAACCTGTATGTTCACAGAAATCAAAATACGGGATCCAACAGTGGCAGAAACAACTTAACTTTTAGAGAAATTTTGATCTGGAATATTCTTTGGTAAGAGGCAGATACTACATTGACGGATCAGAGGCCTAGGCTTGCTTCTTTTTGCTAATCTGCCACTCTAACAAAGACCCAGTTTGGCAGAGCACAGAGAACAGAAGAGCAAGGACAGTCTGAAATAGAAACCTGAACCTGATTAGGTTTTTTTTCCATGCCTGGTTTTGTTTTTTCATCTGAACATTCAGGAAGCACCAAAAAATTAGTAAACTAAACTACAGGGTCTCCTGAATCCTGGCACAGCTCTGCTGGAACACGTTGGCATTATGGAATCATGCGTGCTACTAACAGGCTAGACTTTAACTACTACCATATGAAAGGATACAGACAACTTCTGTGGCAGCATCCCCAAATGATCAAACAAAAAACATACCAAACTTTTTCTCCACTCTGAACGCACGAGAAATGTGGGAAGAGGCTGCCCTGCTCCCGCAGGAATTCTGCTACCTCCATCTGAGGAAGTGGGCCTGCAACAGTCTTTCAAGTTTGAGGTATCATCGGATTGAAAGTAAAACAGTATCAGAAGCTGCATGTTCCCAGGGGGTGACAAGTCTTAACTTTTCTAGAAAGTGCTTAAGCAAGTATCGTACCTATGTGAAGCACATGACTGCAGTCCCAGGACCGGGTACCATGAACACACAACACAGAGATCTCCAAGAGTAGGAACTAACAGAACATCACTACTGCACAGAATTCCAGAAAACGGCATTTACTGTCTTTAATGATTGTTCACATCTCACTATTGAAAGGATTACTAAGGTATTCCTGTGGCATGAGGTGGGGTGGCAGGTACTGACATCTCTGCTTCTTCATTAGAGCTGACCTTATATTAGCAAAGCAGCTACAGCAGATCTTCACCCAGCACAAGACTCGCATCGGCTTAAGAGGGCTGAAGAGCATTAAAGGATTTTCTCTCATTTGGGGGTGGCAGAGGGCAGCTGCCAGGTAATGCAGCAACTGCACCTGAGGGTGGGCCCCAGGCAGTGCTGGCAGCCAGCAAAGCACGTCAGAGCTGGGGCTGACGACTGCGGAGATTTTTCAACAGTGAGTGCAGGACAGAAGTGTCACACAGCTGAGTCTTTTCGTCTGTGTGAACTAAACTGGGAACTTCAGAGTAGCTCAAGATGGGATCAGCTAGAGGCCCTGTGACTCATCTCTTCTCAGTGAGAGATTCTTCACTGCATTAAAAAAAATCCCACACAATCCAGCCTGCACCCTGCTCCTACCACACATCCTTGTGCATGTGCTCCCAAAAGTATCTACAAATACCCAATCACTCTGGAGGAAAATATGCAAATCTTTATTAAAATACTATTGAGCACTTACAGGGTGGCTTCATCTTTCTGAAGGCCATACAAATACTCGTGAAAACCTCACAACATCCCTGTGAGGTAGGTTTCTCTTATGTAATTATGTGACTGTTTCATAAATAAAAGATGATGATGTTAAAATAATCAATGCTTATTTGAAGATGGTGACTTTGATTTCCCTGCTTAGGCATAAAATGTGTTGGTTGCTACCATGTTTCCAGCACACCTAAGAAGACAGAATGTCATAGACAGGTAATGCAAACAACCCGATGTAACTGAAAACCAGCAGTGAATGGGTTAAAGTGCAGTTCTAACCTGAAAACTTACAGTACAGAAAACAGCATCAGGGGCTTCTAAGGCTGTAGGATCTCTGTGGCCCCTGGTCAGATCCTGCCCAATTGAAAGTGACAAAGGCTGTTTGAATGGTCAACTTTGCAAACGAATGGATGACAAACCAAGGGGTCTTCCTGGCTTATAGGACTCTTAACACCACTGACCTGCCCTGGCTCAGCAGTTCCCACAAGAGGATACAGCAGAGGCGATGAGGGATCCTGCAGCTTCTTGCTGCCTTCAGGCTTATTTGGAAGGACAGCACACATGTCACTACCTGAAAAGACACGGCACAGAGGCCAAAAAGTGGTCTGGGCTGCAGAACAAGCGACTAGGGTAATGCAGAGACATGGAAGCCCCAAGTCCCTTTGTACCATGAATCTCAGAGCAGAAGTTGGAAGGAGCAAAGGGAAGTGTGGAGTTTGATTCTGTCTGAAGCAGAAGATATTTCTTTGTTCAGTGGGTTCCATCCTGCTCCCATAGCATGCAAGGTCAGGACAGGTTTCTTTCAAAGCAGATGGCAGAAATACCTTCATGTGCTGTATTTCAGCAAGGGTCTATTAAAGTAACAGTGACTTACATTTGCTTTCATTTCACTGCTGTAGTTGCACAGGAACAAAAGCTTCCCTATGGAGCAGTGACATCAAGGGCTTCTTCATGCCCTCTGAAAAGTACATGCTGCAAGTAGCGGAAGGGAATAAAATGAACATCTCGGTTTTTTTCTCAGAGTCTCTGGGAACTACATCTCTCCTTTGTCAAAGTACATCGCGGGTATATTTCATGCAAATGCTGCAATGTGTTTTCCATGGGCACCTCTATTCATGCACAAGGAACTTGGTCTGAACTGCTGAGACTCTGCATCAGAGAATATCAAAGCTTATTGCAAATGCTGTCCAGTGTCAGATCTGGGGGTCTCACTTCCTTGAAGAATTCCCAGCTAGTGAGGATGTCTTGGAGGAGGTCATGCTTGTGTGACTCTTTTGGGAGCCTGCTGGCTGGGAGGGTGGTTTCTTTTTGATCACCGGTGTTTTGTTCTTGCTTTTAAATACCTTATTGGGGTCCAGCTTGTTCACAAAGGAATCAGCTTCTTCAGAGAGGAGAGCTGTGTTGATGGTTATGGGTTTATACATGTTAAACCATTGCTGAAAGGCAGGATGGTGGGGAAGGAAGAGGTTAAAAATCGAACTGCAACTAGACATTTCCACCCTGTTCCCCCTCACACCTTAGATCTGATTTTAATCATACACCACTTATCAGTTTGCAGTTTACAGGACTGCACAGAGTGCCTTGTGATAAGGATACACAAGGCACAGCTACAGCCCTGGAACTGCCCCACATTCCAGACAGCGAAGAAGAGGAGAAACAGACACAAACCTAACACTACCTTTCCTGCAGTATAACTCCTGTCAGGAGCAACTCCTGATTTAAACCACAGGAGGAAAAGCAAAGGGAAGGGATGACACTAAAATACATTTATTTAGATTCAGAGAAGCAGAAAAGATTAAAAAACCTTGGAATTTAGAAGTGCTTATAAATTGGAAACAAACTAGTTGAACTTCTCTAAATATAGCCTCCCTCTCTTCATACATACAATGATACAGTTTTTTAACTCTTTACACAAAGGATTTTGTGTTTGTTTCTCTTCAGCCTGATTTTACATCTAGAAGTGACAACAATAATATTTTTTTTTGTTCCCAGATGCCACCACAATGTCATGCCCTGTAGTTCTCATCTCTTAGTGTTTTTCCTATCAGTTATCCATTGACGAAGCCAGCAAATAAAGCTGTAGGGGTTATGGTATTACAAATCCCACTGAAACCATCAGCAAAGTGTTGAACAAGATAAACAAAAGATCAAAACCAAAATGTAGATGGCAATCTTTTCATGTACTGCTTAATGGAAAACAGCTTTAATATACCATCCTTGAAGACCTTAAAAAATGAAAATGGTTAACATATTAGGAGGATTTTAACTAACAGAGGTTGCAAATGATTAGGGAATACATAAATGATTTCACTAAGTTTTGTGAATATACTGGACATAATAAAATATTCTCGCAGGAAAGTTACAGAAAGGCAGAGCACAGGCATATGCTAGTGTACCACATACACAGCCTTGACTGATAAAGTAGAGCAGAGTATAACAGGGAAGACACCAGAAACACAGAGCCAAATTCTACAGCCATTGATAGATGGGAAGTCAGCAGCAATTTTAGGGAGTAGTTCTGATGTACGCACAGGGCTGAGGCAGGACCAAGGAATGTCACGGTGGTAAGACAGATGTTGTATCTGGGTGAAGTGCAGGACACTCACTGAGACCCACCTTGCCAACAAGCACAGACATTGCCCAGGCTTATGTGCTCTGTTTGGTAATATTCTCATGTTGATTCCCCGACGTCTCAAAAGGTGCAAACAGGGTTAGAGCTGAAGGCCAAGCCAAGCACAGAGGAATGGCAGGAGCCTCTAATAGCGGGGTTCTGGCAGAGCATAACAGCAGCTTTAATAATAATAAGGGGCTGGAATTGTCATGGGGATGTACTTGTAGCTCTCCTATAACTACTTAGAAAACTGCTGGCATTTAAATTGCCTCTTTTGGGGCATCATTTTTATGAAGGCATCCCTTCATGACTGAGAAGTATGCAAAGGAATTAATATTCTTGGCAAGGCTCGAGCTCGTAGTCTTCCTCTTGGCTTCTGCTGAATGCGTACCTGGACTTTCCTCTCCACCCAGAGAGCAGTAGGTTCTTGTTCAGTGCTATGCCCAGAAAACTGATCTGGACAAATCTTACATAGCTTTGGGGATGAACAGGTTTACATCTCCTCACTCACCAGGAGTCATGGAAGCGAGGTTAGCTTCAGAGTCAAGAAAGCAAAGAAATAATTGGGGTTCCACCAGCTGCTATTAGAGCTTAAAGGTAGAGTCCAACTTGGGTGAGAAAAGCAGGGCTAACACAATGTTACCGAATTCATTAATATAAACAAATGACTGTTAACACACTATAGGGGAAAGACTCGTGACCATGGCTCCATGGCTCACTATGGAGGCCCACCTGAGCCTAAAGACTGCTTGTCAAAAGGTACAAAGACGTTTTACCAGTCTATACTTATGTAAAATACCGATGAGCTGGATCCCACTGTCCTACCTTGGCTTGGGGGCTGACCCCATAGCTGGTGAAGGCGTACTGCCACTGTGGGAGACCCAGGTGGGTAATGAGCAGGCGGTAGTAGGCTGTGAAGGTTTTGGTGAGGAAATGCCAATACAGAGCTCTGTCCAGGAACCATATCTCTGTGTCTTGGGAGACAACTAGAACAAAACAAACACAAATTATACTGTTGCTTTCCAGTGATAAGATCAACCCCTGGCCATTATCAGGTAGGAGACACAACGTGCTTCTCAAAAAGGCTGCAGCTTCTAAAATGCAGCATCCCTGACTAACATAGATGATTATCCAGAGGCAACATGGTTTAATGGTTAGAGGATGGGGACTAAAAAGGACTTGGTTCTGCTCCCAGTCTTACTAAAAATACTCGTGCAATAGCCATTGTATTCATTGTCCCCACCGTAAAATGGATGCAATGCTATTCCTTCCCAACCTGGGACTGATGTTCAATATGGAACAGACTTGGACATCAACAACTTTGTAGCGTAAGTTCAAAGTACAATTATGGCAAACATTTATCTACCCCACAAAGTAAAAAGCAACTAACTCAATTGTCAGTCATCTGTATTACTGAATTGAGTCCAGAGTCTGGAAGCCATGGCAGCGCGTGCTGCCAACAAAAACACATTTTGCAAAATCCTTCCACAGTGATCAAATATTTCTCTGGTGGTGACATCCTTTGGAGCATAAAAAAAAGTGATTTTATTTGGGAAACTGAGATGCTGAACATTGTCAATTAAACACACTGACCCCTGTACTGACATCAACATTTGTAAACAATGCTCCCTCCCCTTGCTCTGATTACCCACTGCGCATTGCGAAATCGCAAAGACTGGCAGGCAAGAGGACAAGTAAGAAGTGCCTTGGGCGTTGTAGTCACACCCAATGAAGGACACAAGATAACAACCAAAGGGTTTTCTTAAGAATAGGTATATCACGATTGCACACCCCCACACAGTGAACATACAGGTATACACATACACCCAGTGACGTCTGCACTGTGTCAGATGACAACTACTGTACAAGTGACTTGGGTATTTCACTAATCCCTGACTGATAGCAGCTTTCTGTGTGTCTGTCAGAAGCAACAGCTCAGCTAACATCTTTTGCTCTCCTGTTCAACCCTTCCTGACAGATTTTAGCCTAGTTGGCACCTGGAGGCTCTACATCCATGCACAAGGTGGAAGAACCAGTCTAAGTCTGTCTCAATCAGCTAAGGACCTTTTTTACCATATTCCTTTTGCTTCTAAGCAGGATTACACCCTTTCTCATCCAAATGTAAGGGAATTGTTCCAAGACATGCAAGTAACCAGAGATACGTTAGTGACTGAGCTCTAGCCTTCTGCATTATTTCAACATGATTGTCTGTAGGTCATACGTGAATGCTTTCCTGTTTCAGTATGCAAGTATGCTACGCATGCGGAAATCATAACTCAGACTCAAACATTAAAAGGAGGGAAAATGTTAGCTACAGTTAGGTCTCTGTAATGTTTAGCCCCTGAATTCAGTGGAGAACAGGGTGTCCCAGCAAATGTTCACCTACAAATTGCAAAGATCAGAAATGTAAGATGATTCTACACATGCAGCATCAAGATACAATCCACAACAAGAGATGGTTAACTTTGCTCTTTTCAGTCTTACCAGGTTTAGCGTGCTTATAAACAAGACAAACTTTGCCATTGCCATTGCATGGGTCTAATTCAAAGATAAGACTACGAGAATCAAAGTGTGGCCTCTCTGGTTTGTCTCCATTACCTGAAAACAGAAAAAAAATCTTTATTAAACATATTTGGAAAACTGACTTGAGACTCAGCTGCAAACAGTTAATCTATTTGATACTTATTAATAAATCAGCTGAGGAAGAACTAAATCAAACTACTATATTTATACTTCCTGGAGAGGATTTTCCTCCCTGTGTTAAAAAAAAAAAAAAAAAAATTGAGAAAAATTTTAATCTTCATTAGGAAAAAAACCAAGACAGTCAAAATCTGATGGCTGAAAAGAGACATCAAGCTGCCCTCTAATCCTTTCCTGGCATAAAGCAAGATCAGCTTTATAGATGCCACTCCTGAGAGGCATTTGTCTAACCTTTTCTTAAAGTCCTCTAGAATTGGAGACGCCACAAGCTCCAGGCAGTCAACCCAAATCCATTGTTACCACTTAACACTTTTCCTGGATTCTGAATCTTCCTTGCTGCAATTGAAGCCCATTACTTCCGTTCTATCCATCATTTCTTTTTTGCCCTACTTTCTTTTTTCTAGGGAGGACAGGGAGAACAGTTTATTCTTCTTCTCTTGACAGAAGACTTTTATGAACTTGGAGACACATACATTTCTTTATATACTCCAGCGTGACATCAGTGTCCTTCTCAAAAGCCACACTTTCTGACTCGTATCCAGCTTCTGACCCACAACCACCACATTGCTTTTCTACAGGCTCATGCAGCTTTCTACAGGGATCATGCAGCTACAAGTTCTTGCAGAATACAGTTTTGAATTCTAATGCTGATGAGGAAGAAGGGGGCCACAAGAACTGTACTCTTCAGAAGAGCTGTCCACAAAAGTCAGGATGAGAACACTGGTGGGGATGTAACTTTTGCTCATTGTACCTTTTAAGTGCATCAGTGCAGGTCTGAGTGGCTAAATGGAAGCAGAATTTGACCAATTTCATTACAATGGCTAGAAGATTAGGACTGTAGCCAAGCTGGAATGTGCAAAAAGAAACTTTAAGCCACAGTTAGAAGCTACAAGAGCTATAGAGATTCAGAGACAAGACTGAAATCAAATACCAGTTTTTTAAGGAGTAAACAGGACACCTGGCTCTGTTCTTATCTTCTTACTTCTTCCAGTCTTGTTAGACTGGAAGAGCTCTGAGAACAGTGGACTTTTTTCCTTATTTTTCTCTCCAAACTACAGGATTCTCAGCATTTTTAGGCAGTCTGGAAACGCATATTTTCCAGTGCCACCTCACACATTTACCAGAGTTATTTCTCCAATTCCAAAGAGTAAATCCAGCTGTCTTTTCACTACCAACACAAAACCTGTTATCTTTTGTTCATGTAAACCGATAAGCAGACAAAGACTTTAGAAGCTGAATCACTGGAGGAAGCCTCAATTAAAACTTTAAAGAGGGAAAAGGAACAACAGGAGGGCTTCCAGGCTGTTAAAAGAGTATGCAAACAATACTAGTGACTGACAGCATTAACAATCCCCATGAGATTCACAGCATACAGGTCCACCTTTCAAGGCTGTAGGGGACTATAGGACATATAGCAGATCTGGCCCAGGAGACAAAGAAAACCCCATCTACTTGGAATGACCTTTTCTGTTGCTATATCCACATGCTAAAGCCTAACATTACCCTAACAGAGCAAAAGAGATGAGACAGAGCATGTTTTCTAGCCTGCTAACAGGACCTTACCTTCCTCATCCGTGTCATCTTCCAGGTCAGCAAGAGTTGGTGCATTAGGCAGAGTGTACATAGAGGAACCTCCAAGCCGACATAGCTTTGAGACACTATTAATCACCATGGAGCCCAGGGGCATCGGGGTATCTGCAATAAGACTGATCATTAATCACACCCACTGTCAGGAAAGCATAGGAGGTATATCTTTTCCTCCACACATGAACTTAACCTCTTCTAAAACACAGAGCGGGAGAAAAGATGGGTATACCCAGCAGGGCTAGACACTTAACCAAGTCAGGGTCTACAGGAGCAAAAAATTAGGCTTTTTCAAACACAGAATCATACTTACAGGTGACGCAACACCATCTCAGAGTCGTGCAGGTATGAGAATTACACTGCTGACTAAGCCTGTGCTGCAGCTGCTAGCCCAGTCCTGTGAAACTGGCTAATAAAAATCCTGGCTAGCTACAGCCACCTCCTCAAAACTCTTTTCCCTGATGCTGTCTTTCCTACCAGAAACCAACTCACCTATTCACAGCTTATTGGGCAGCTTGTCCTCTTCCACTCCATATATCTGCTCATGGTGCATCCTCTTGGATTCCACTCCAACACAGAATTTTAGCAGTGTGTCAACATGTGGGTACTCCCTAATGAACGCTTGAGGACTTGTCACTTGTCTCTCCTTCTGAGGACTAGTACTGTTACCAGACAACAAGTCAACAAGGACCCTGTGCAGCCATGTATGAGCGCGAAGGGCCTCAGAAGGCACTACTGGATGCTTGCTCAAAGACAGTTATGTGAGCTGCCTTGTCTCTGTGCACTTGTATGCCCTGAAAATAAGACTCTTCAGAGGTCACAATACACTAAATCCCACTTGGAAGATAATGGGACTTAGTGCAGGTGTTAGAGCCCCGATGTCAACTGTCTCTGAAATGAAATTCCACTTTCTGAGGAAACACCTGTATTTGACACCCACCTCCAGAAGTGAGCAGTGTCCAAGGCCCAATTTGACAACCTCACTTGAAGGCAACGAGAGCCAGGATAATAGTTGCAGGGCTCCAGTGCAGAGTGAACAAACCGCCTGATTCTTGCCAAACAAGGATGGAAAATAAAGCTCAGTCCTGTTCTCATTTCCACCACTGACTCCAGAAATAACTCCGGTGAATGGACTTTAGCTGGTGGAAAGCAGAATCAGGCTCCAGCATGTACATATGCCTTTTAATGAAAAAGAGGCATTATGACAGGGTGACTCTTCCTACTACTTTATGATAGGATAATGTATTAGAGCTGCTCTCTCCGTGGACTACAGAGGGAGTCTATGTACGAGATTTAAACTACATACCTAAATCTGAGTGTCCACAGATGGTCAGTGTGTTACAGAATGGTATTTATGTCATGAAGACTTGTTTGGTTTCTAGCCAGTGTTCAGTGTACATGTCTGTTGTGTGGAACTTCAGCACATGCAAGCAATAGGCTTTGTCCTGTTGCATCAGGAAGGGACCTCTGATGTGCAGTCATATTTTTTTCCTCACCAGGACATTTGTAACACAGTCTACAATCCCATGCAGAACTGCACTCACTTATTAATTCAGAGGTCAGTTTTCTTTAGTCACTGATCAAGCTGCCTAGTGGAAACAACTTACTTTTTTTTTTTTTGCAAGTTAAGGAATGGTGCTAATTTTTCACTTGGTGCATGTTCTTTTGCTCAGACTAATGCAGCATGCTGAAAGATGTGTATGGACTGTGCAGAAAGTAAGTTTGCAATGTAAAAGATTCTGCAAAGGAAAGACTAGCTGCAATAAAAAGAGGGTATCAGTGGAGAGGAATACATGGACTCACCATCAGTCTTCACACTCCAGGTCATCTGGAAGCCATCGGTCATCAGATAGAAGTTCTTTAAATCCTCTGGCAGTATGCAGGAGTTTTTCTGCAAATCACAATCAAAGTGTTATGGGAAAATGCAGAACGTGCCTCAAAACCAAAGAACAACTGAATATTGGTACAGAAGTATTTGCCACCAAAGATATTAATCTTCATTAGAAAAATGACGGAAATCCAAGATGACTCAAATATCTCTTCCTAAAACCTTGATAGAAAACTGCATATTCCTTGGGTCTGTGCTGCCCTATTAACAAAGACGATTTGGGAAAACTTCACAATGAGCAGCCATCAGATGATCATTACAGGATTGTTCCCCAACTGAAATGACGTATCATCCTTTGACACTACGAGCCACTCCAAGATCACATATGTAAGAACAATCAGCTTTTTCATATATACGGCTTACAAAAGTAGAGTTTTGCTTTATGTGAAATCCGACTAAACCCACCTGTTCCACTAAAGCATGTATAATATTAGCACAAGGACTCTCTTCTTCTGAGGGATTTCAGTTCCAAGTGAGAGAAGCACGGACTCAAAAGTTTCACATAATCAAGCAGATTGGATATTTCACTTAACAAACGGTATGTGTACAAATACACACAGAGTCAGTCTCACAAACCTGCTGGTCTGGCTTCATCCCACTACATTTGAGCAGTTGGCTGGGGCTCCTAAGCCTGCTTCCTTCCGAGCCAACAGTGAAAGAAGCAACTCCAGCGAGCTGGTGAGAGTGCTTTGAAGAATCAGAACCCTTCTTCTATTCCTATGTTGGTTGTGGAAGGAGCCTTTCTTAACTGAAGAGTCTTCAGCTAAGCAACAAATATGAGGAAGGGAGGATAAAGGCTTAATCCTCAGAGCAACAGGAAGCCCAAAGAGCTATAGGCAATTGCAGGCACTGCTCCTGGTGACAGGACTGGCTGCAGACCAGTGACCCTCCATTCCTGTTGATGTGTCAAGAACACAAAATGAAACAGTATGGAAGCCTGTCAGTTTTAAGAAACCGAGCAATACACATGACTAAAGGAGTTATCTGTTGCTTTGTTTGTAATTGTTTTAGAGAAAAACAGATTGAGAAATATTGAAGTGAGTTCACATTTAAAAAAATCTTCAAACTCAAGAATCCAAAAGAATCAGACCCCAAAACTCAGGATACTCTCCAATGATGCAGGTTCCACAATCTCTGCGTTGACTTGTCCAAGGTTGCACCACCCTCCTTGTGAAAAATTTTTCCTAACTGTGGTCTGCAGACCACATTACAACTTGTGGTCATTTGCCATTTTCAGTTCCGGGTGCTTTTAAATCTGCTCAGGAACAAAGACATAAATGAGTCCCTTGAGGGTCAAGCTTTGTTATTAAACCAGGAGCAGAGACAACTTCTTTAAAATGTTGATCTGAGACCTGCTGATAATCACAGGACTCTGGCAGCTACATTTCACAGGAAAAACGGACAAATAATGTGAGATTTGCAACGCAGCATGTCTGATAATTCAAGTACTTTTGTGACAGGATTTTCAGCCTTTTCTAAAAAATGTGTATTTCTTTTATTCAGGCAGTTTTAAAGACATGCTATTGGACACATCCTGCTCTTTGTGCAGTGAGTTTGACACTCAGAGTAAGAAAAGGTAGAATTACAAAATTTAAGAACATTTATAGATCAGTATTGCTGTCCCTCATACAGGCTTAACCTGCCACAGATCGAGATATTATTCAGGTAGGAATTCACACCTTGGCCTCACAGGCCTGGGTGGGTTTTGGAGCAGTTATGGAATTACTTTGGAGAAAGCAGGAGTCCAATGTTAACAGGTTTCCAATATCGTGCCTCTGCTGGGACTATTTCCTTACAGCTACTAGAAAACGTAACGTTCAAAGTCTCATAAAATAAAGAAAGAATATTCTGGTAACCAGTAGTTAAGCAAAAGAAACATGCACGTGCAGTTCATATAGCTCTGGTTTACTTAGCGCACAAATTTGTAACATCTCAAGAGATGCTGATCAGATTCTTCCCTGTGTCTGCAACTTGTGCATACCCAGTTATCTGGCCTGATGTTGCCTCAATGCATCTATCCAGCAGGAGCTACCTGCCAGCTGTGCGTCCAGCTGCAATGCTGGCCTCTGGTCACCAGCGACTGGCACCAGCAAGGGAAGGCGCTGGCCTCCTCCTGTCCATGTCCTCTCCCTCCCCTAGGACCAGGGCAGCCCTTCTGCCTGTTAAAGCCTTATTTGTAGTCACTTTCTTTGGGTTGCTACAGTCCCTGTCCCCTAAACCGTGGTGTATACGCTGTGTAGGACCCTCTAACACACCCACAACCTTCACTCCTGCGTGTTAACTTACTTTCTAAGCGTATCCATTTATGCTGACAGACCGCTGCTGAGGAGTTCCAGATACTAACGGCTTTGCAGCTTGCGATAGGGCAGGTCACTTGACTTGCTCCATCAGCAGTCTGGTCACTAGCACAGTGCTTTACTAACCCAGGTAGGGAAAATTTTCAGAGGCAACAGGTATTAAAGCAGAGAATCCGATACTGTAGAAACTTTGCTTTAGGAAGAATTTATTGTCCTTTGATAAGAGCCTGCTGATGGCTAAGGCCCTGGTGGTAAGTTTCAGGAGATGACTAAACCACACGGACATATCTGAAGTTCTTCAAATGCCTTTAACAAACACACCTTCTTCTGTGGGTTCTTCTCAGTCCTAAATATTTATAATTTCATGCTGTGCTTTCAGCACTTCCAATTTCAAGCTGTAGCTGTAAGCACAGTGACTAGGTTTAAAACTATGAAGAAAGAAAATATGACAGACCCGGACAAAGTCTTAGAAGAGCACAAATGTTTACATAGCACTTTTAGCCCATTTCAACCCTTCCAGTTTTGACTAATCTACCCCAGCCATAAAAATACATGTGGGAACAGCTCTCTTGACTTCAGTGGGTGTTCTCCTCTAAGCAGGAGAGCCAGATCCATTGGGATGACAAAATCTAAAACTTTAAAACTTCCACTGTAATATTCAACTAAATACTACCACAAACCGGGCACAGCCCCATTTAACAAACATAGCTGATTAAGACAAGGGAAAAATCACATCTGGATAGACCTTCTGCTCTGAATACTCTTTTTCTGGATGGAAAGATGAACATACGCACGTTTCTCCAAAGGGGTGCCATCCCCATTTTATTTTTGGATTCTTCTAACCATGTCTCTTTGCACGACTTTCCAAATGATGGTAGAAAACACATGGGTGGAAAAAGCTGTACCAGAGCAAATCTGGGCTCTGTAGGAAAAGACCTCTATATAGAAAGCTTCACTAATATCCATCTCTCCCGTCTGACGGAAAGGATTGACTAATCTGTCAGATTATGCTTAGCGACATGATCCTATGACTTCAAAACAGTGGTTTTGTGACAGAGAAACAACAGAGTCAGAGAAACAACCACTACCACATTTTAAAAATGGCTTCTCAATCTCTGTACTCCCCCTGTTCAACTGGTAGTTTCCTGGGTTGTGATCTCCAGCCCCATAACATACAATATTCCTAATGACGTGCTAGAAGTGGCTTAACCACAGCCCTGACAAGCAGCTGTTTTCACTCCAGTCATCTGGTTACACTCATCAGCTAATAAAACAAAATATCCCTAGTGCCCAATATGGTGTGTGGGTTCTATTTCTTTTGTTTATTGTCCATAATATCCGTAAATAGTCTCCCAAGAAAGCACAGTCCATTGAGGAAAGAGAAGAATATTAGAATGAGGGTAGCCTTACTGCTGAGACCTGATCAACACTGGATCCAGAGCTAAAACACTGACATATGGCAATTCACTTAAAGCACTGTTCTAACAATGCCTCCTGAGCAAATATAGTAAAGAAATGGCCAGCAATCAAAGCTTATTGCTCTAGAGGGACTTCCCTAAAAAACTGAATGAGTTTTATCCAACTTCTGGGGACAGAAGGAAGGGATTTATGTCACTTCCCAGGGCTTCCACATAGCAGAGCAAATCAGCAGCTAACTTTCTCTCTCCCAATGTCATGCTGTTTTGTGACTGGTCTGCCCTAGCTGCCAGTGAATGCAGAAGATGTTAATTTATGTAAGATACTGAGACATTCTCAATGCACCTTTTACAAATCTGATCTGGCAGGGGGGAGGAAGCTCCCAGGAGTTCATGTTGCTTGGATTTCCTGCCCCAAAACATACAGGGCTGGGGTAGACCTGTCCCCTGTGACAAAGAACAGGATTTGGCAATTCTCTTGAGGACAGGGTTCTGTAGCCAAGTTTTTAATCAGCATATTATGAGGCCCCACAGGAGGGGAACAATGTGTGAGAAACACTATCCACCTCCCAAAAGTCTTCCAGCCTCTCCCCGATATGCAGCTTGAAAAAAATGTACCTTTCCTCATGCATTGGTTCTGCTAGATCCACTTCCCCGCCTCTCCTGTGGTCAGGGCCACGAGGCAGGTTCAAGATGGGCAGATCCTGTGCTCCTGGGGCTCAAGGATGGCAGTCTTACCTAATGCTGAGGGAGGACATAACGAGGCGGACGGCAAGAAGGACTGTTGTGGATGCGCACGCCTGTATGCATACTTTTGATCAAAAAGAGATATGGTAGAAGCAACAAGGAAGACTTCTAGAATAGCCAGAAACCACCACTGCAGTTCCCACTGAGATTTACATGCAGAGAGAGTTTCTAAATTGTCTGGCAGCCTAAGACAGTCCACAACAGGAAAGCACCAGACTGCTTGAGGGCTTTTTTTATTATTTTGTTACAGACAAATAAATCTTTGTAGACAAAGTGCATAAGGAGAAACAACAAATTTCCCATGCAGAGTTGTAGAATATCAATGCTGCAGCAGCGTGGTGGGCAGGGATTGCTTACAGTCAGCCAGGGGCAGTTCAGACACTGGTAACAAGCCAATTAGAGAACAGGCAAAATGACCCCCTTCATTTTGCTTTGCCTGCTGGGTCGCTGAGCTCTGGGACGTCTAGCTCCCAGTAAAAGAACGCAATTTCCTACCTTTTGCAAACCAAAACAATGTGAGTGACTTATTTCCCTTCTGGTTGAGGCAAAAAGAAAATATGTTTCAGACGTTGCCACTGCAGATACCAGAGTGCCTCCTAGCAATATTTTAATATAACACCTACTTTTAAAAACTGCATGTGGAGGGGAGGAGGGCAGTTGCCAGCCTGAATTTAGGAGTGGGCACAGGTTCATAGGATGATATACAGTTATTAGCACCAGCATTCCAGTGACTTGGTACCTCGGTTTCTACTCCTCCTTCTATTGCTGGTCTTACTTTCTTGGGGAAAAGATAACATCTTGGTAGGTATAAATATCAGGAAAAGTGAAAAAAGTATTTTTTTTTATTAAAACATTTTGAACTCCTTGAAAGCTTTGGGGAAGTGATGCTACCCATGTAAACACTTGACAATCATATACCTTAAATACTTTTGCAAGTGTGCTGACTTCCAATAAAATACTCAGGATTGATTTCAGGTTTGATCTCCTGAAACATAAAGACTTAACAGCTCTTTCTGCCTCTACAGAAGCCCTTGGGAAAAAAATCTCCTCTGCTCTCCTACTGTCTTACTGCACTGGCTCCAGCCATGAAGCTTGCCTTCCCTTGCAAAGCCTCACGGCAATTAATAGACATCCAACAAGCTGATCTAAGATTTTAAAACTTCCATTGTAGCATCCAGTTTAATACTAGCACAAAACTGGCAAGCCCAATTTAAGAAACACAGCTGATAGAGACAAAAAAAATGCCTATTACGAACATTATAAGAATATAATTTTAACCATTCATAATTAAAAAAAAGGTTAAGAGTTTCTGAATACTGTAGATTTTCTCTCAGAAGAAATACCTTTCCATTGAAAACTGAAATAGGACTGGAAAAAACGGTTCAAGGGAAAAAAAAATAATCTTAAGAATAGAGCTTTTATTTGGTAAGTCTCAATGAAGAGAGTTTTTTTTGGGGAAAAAGAATGTAAGTTTGGGAATAGTTTGACCAGCTTTCCCCACATAACACAAAAAGCCCTGCAAATACTTTCATAACCAAAGATGTAGAGGGGAGTTAAAAATATAGACTGTGACAAGATCTTGTGAAGATCACAACTCTGGAGAAATGATTATGTGCATAAATATTGCCACCTAGTGGTTATGAAAAAAAACCAACCAGTGATAAAAGTGAACATTTGGTACAACTAAACGTGTATTCAAATTCAAGCAGGATGAGTTTGAGGAAAAGTGAGGTGCAAGTTCATCTTGGAAGGGCCTTGTGAGGTGCTGAGTGCTTTGCACTTGATCATCACTGCAAGTCATATGCAATTGTGTGGACTGTGTTAGATATCAAACTGCATCCCCAAAGCTCAAGAAAAAAAAAAAAAGAAAAAAGAAAAGTTACCTTTCAATTTGAGAAGGGAGATTTCAGGTTTTGTCAATGCAACTGGAACCAAAACCAAAGAAATAGACAGCAAAGACCTTTACCATTAGCAGTCTGGCTCAACTGTATCTACTTAATTTTCACCATTTACTTTCACAATTTACTTAGTTCATCACTGGGTAGGGACGGGGGGAGCTGGAGTTTTGTTTTGGCATCTTTGGAGTGACGTGCATTGGCTACAGCACTTAAAAGTTTGGCTTTGCAAGAACAGCTCAATTTTGAAATGAACCCAATTTAGTTCAGAGGAGTAGCAGCACCTGGAAATGAGAGCGACACAGCATTCAGAAGCAGTCCTCTTCATTCAATAGAAGAATGAGCGACTGTTCCTCTGCTGCTCCCAGACCTGAGCTGGCTCACAGTCAGGGTGCCTCAGACTTCCCAGCACAGTTGATCTGACACCTAAACAACAGCTACAGGATATCAGGAATCAGTTCACGTGAACCTGAAAAACCGGACATTTCTACCTGACCACAGTTGCTAGCTACTGTACAACATTCAGTAAATAATGCAGGTTTACATCACATACATTCTGACCTGGATTTATAAAGTCTTGATAAATACCATTAATTGGGATGGGGCATTACCAAAACTAGTGCAAGATTTTTCCCTGCTGTTAAGGAAAAACTGTAAATGGCAAGGCATCATCAAATGGGAATTTATTTTACGTAGTAGTAACAAATGCAGTCTCTGGGAGCACATGCGCTAGGGCACAGCTAGGTTTGGAGCAGAGGGAGGACTCCATCCTCAGCTGCGCCCCTTTCCAAAGGCCAGTCAGCTTCTACCATTCCTTCTGTAGATATGAGTGATACCTAGAAAGCACTTATTCCCCCATGGTCATGGGATTGACAAACACATGTATATTTAAAAAGGAGACCAAAAATGACATCTCTGCCCACCAGAGTCACACAACAGTATTCAGGAGCCCTCTGGTCACACACTCTGATACAGTGAGGTCAGTGAAGTCAAGGTAGCATGTGTCCTTCATAGTCTTCTAGAACAGGCAATGGGACATGCCTTGGCCAAAAGACTGGGCCAGTCAGCCAAAGGGGAGGTGGAAGGAAGGGCTATGAAAAATGGAAGTGAATAGTCGAGACTGAAAAAAGAAACAGATAACTGCAATGAATTGGGTGACTTAGTGGTATGTTCCAGCTTGAGGCCTTTACCTTTAATGTCCATAAATAATAAAGAGCTTCTTCATTTTGTCTCAAAGAGTATTGTAAAATGCATTCAGACCTGAGTCAGAACAATGTTTGTTCTCCACTGAGTCACCACTGTTGCTGCCTACTACAGTTATGTGATTTCTTCTTAAGAGTTGTCATTCTGAATATATCCACCCTGATCAAGTTTCTCTACCAGATCAGGTGCATGCAACACCCTAAAAAACAGAGTAATACCTGATTGAAAAAATTAAAAAAATTCTCTGTTTAGGCTCCACGGTACATTAAACATGGTAGCAGGCTGTCTCACAAACAAACACAAAGTAGTCATGGCATTTGATATTCTCCATGGGCTGCTGTACGCTTAGACTAACCTCACTGCAGTATTATCATGAAAATACTCACCTGCTCCCATGAAATGATTGTATGGCGTTCGGCTGGCTCTTTTTCCACAAAAGCCACCTCAGCAACTCCTGGAGAATTCTCTAAAAAAAAAAGGGTAAGAGGAACACGTTTGCAGCTGGCACTGGTGACACCAAGCATTGTGAGACAGACAATTTTGCAAGTTAACCTGACTGACAGCTGAGGAAAAGGCATTAATGACTGCAAGGATTGTGCTGGTGACTGACCAGTCGCTTTCTTTTTTGTGTGTAACCGTACTTAGCATGTCTTGGCATGAGGACGCCTAGTGCTACACATAAGGCATCCTTTGGTGGTCTTTATAGATATACACACACACACACATTTTTGTATGTGATCTTTTGCAGAGGATTCATAGAAAAATCAACCATGCATTCATGGGCAAACTCTAAAAGATAGACAAACCACGACTTTCTAAGCATGCCCTGTGGTTTCAGTCAGATAGGATATTCTCAGCTTGACACACGACGTTGTGCAGTGTTGCTCTGAATTGCTAACAACTGTATTCCACAAAGATCGGCACACTTCAGCGTTGGATTCAGT